ACCTGTGGTTTTCAGACTGACCTGTGGTCTTCTGACTGACCTCTGGGTCTCAGACTGACCTGTGTGAGTAGGAGGAAGTCGTTGAACAGGAAGCCATAGAGCTCTTTGCTGCTTTTTGCTTTAAACAGCTTCCCGCTGTGGAGGAACTTCCTGGGACCCAGACAGTTGGTAACCGAATTAAACACCAATTGCTGCAGGAAATAAAATAAAAAAATCTTTATCAACAAACACAGGAGTCAAACAAGGTCCAAAAGGACACAACAGTTGTAAGGGAGAAATGTTTGTAAATGCTGTAGATGATATGAAACCCAGTTCTGGTACCTCTGAGAGTCCCTCACACTGAACATGAGCCTGGATCCACTCCAGGCGATCAGAGTTCTCCTTCTCCCTGACGCCCTCGTTCACCTTCAAACAACAAACATCAGGTACATGATCAGAGCAGCTTATAGTTACACTGAGGTGTTGTAACTACAGATCACTGGATCCTTTTTAAACTAACTTCATCTTCTCATCAGAAACACAGTTGCAGAGGTTTTGGTTGAACAGTGGAAATAATGAGATGCCACTTTGGTGGTGGGAGATGTGTCTCCCCACCATCAAGGACATCTACACAACATGCTGCACCCATACAGCAACCAGCGTTGTGGAACGTCACACACCATTCACCCTCTTATTATCCGGTAAAAACATGTCGAAGCAGTCGGGCCGTCACAAGCAGACTGTGTAATGACGAACAGCAAGCTGCCAGACTCCTGAAGAGCCCGAGTCAGAACTGCACACACACTCTGGAACATTTTTAGAGTGGATAATAGAAAAATCATGCAAATTGTCATACAAGCACCAAATATGACATGGTTGTTAGCTTTTATGAATTTATAATAAATAATCAAAATAAAAATGTGCGATGACTTTGGACTCTTATGGGCGGAGATTTGAGTTGCCGGATCCGAGCAAACTGTTGCCAGAACGCAGCAGGTTGGAATGAGGGGGCTCCCGGATCTTGTTCCGGCAGGATCTGGCTCAAATTAAGCACTGGACTGCTGGTGGAATTGAACCCCTACCTATTCCAATGGAGGACAACTGCTGTGACCACTCAGCCAACAGCTGCCCCAAAAGGCTGAACAGGATGACCATGGGGGTCGGCTCAGTGGTGGGAGTGGAGCTGAACTCTGTGGAGGACACCGTCCTGACTTCAGGACCACCACACATCCTCTGCATGTTACCACCACAAGACAGGAACATTTAGTGGGTGGCTGTTTTCACGGCGATGCTCAACTAACAGACTAAAAAAACTCATTAGTCCTCAGAGTCATCAGACTCTTTAATTGAACACTTAGTCGAGGAGGGGGAGGGTGATGCTGGCTGGGGCAGGAAACATCGGTACCCATACTCATGCTTTTATTGGTATTTAGTCTGCCTTTTAATATTTTTAACTTCTATGATGGGTGGTTGCTGCTGTATCAAGTTCAAGTTCAAGGTTTTTTATTGTCATTCACATCACATGTGGTACATGAAGTGGAAGGACATTGTGTACTCAAGGTCCCAGTTACTGGTACTCCCAAAAATGACAAAAATAGCCAAAAAAGTATAAAAAACAGTATATAAGTATCTAAGATATACACTTAGCTTTACACTAAGACATACACTAAGATATACACTAAGATATACACTAAATGAACGCTAAACGATACGCTAAAAGATCGAAGATAAATGCTAAACACTAATAATGTAAAATAATATGGTATATTAAACAGCAGCCTGAACATGAGTCTGTAGTGAGCAGATGGGTATGAATGAATACAGCAGCATGAGATAGTCAGCAGCATGAGATAAGTCACACATCAAGGGAACTGAGCTTTGTGGTTTGCCATGTGTTTTCGTATTTTTATTCCTGAAGCAGCGGATTCTATTAATTCCCTAATTAATAAAATGAGTAAGTAGTAAGTTAGAAACTAGGTCAGCAAAGAAGTAAGTGCATAAGTAGGAAGTAAATAAGTAAATTAGTAAATAAGTACATAGGTAAGGGGCAGCATGGTGGCTCAGTTGGTAGAGCTGCTGCCTTTCAGGGAGAAGGTCGCTGGCTCAAATCCCAGCCAGGGGCCTTTCTGGGTGGAGTTTGCATGTTCTGTCCGTGCTGCATGGGTTTTCTCCAGGTACTCCAGTTTCCTCCCACAGACCAAAAACATGCATGTTAGACTGATTAGTAACTCTAAATTGTCCCTAGGTGTGAGTGAGAGAGTGAATGGTTGTTTGTGTCGTTTGTCTCCATGTGTCCCTGTGATGGACTGGAGACCTGTCCAGGGTGTGTCCTGCCTCTCACACAGTGATAGCTGGACATGGGATGGATATAAGTAATTAGGTAAGTAAATGATTAAGTAGATAAGTAAGTCCATTGGTCTGTACTTCTATGTAAATACACTTCAACTGGAGCTCAAAGTGTGTTTTGTTAATGACTCAGCTACTACCACATCAACTTATAGGTCAGTACGGGTAAAACTGAGTAATAGATATTCTTCTGTTGGCTAATGTTGATTAGCTGTGGTGGCCATTTTAAATGGGATTAACTCCAAAGGTTAATTAGTTGTAGCTAAATAACCAAGAATTACTTCCTGAAAAAAAATGTTCATCTAGTTGCTCATGAGATATTTTGCTAACACACCGACAAATTGACTGCCCTTGTGTGAGTGTTCACCTGTGAGCACAGCTCCTCTGCCTTCTCCAGAGCAGCTTTCAGGTGGCTGTGATCAGGATGAGCCTCTGGAGTGTTCTCTAAGATCTGCGATCAGAAACAGGACGGGCGGGTCAGCAGGCGGGAGCACAAGGACATTTCAAACCAAAGTGTATCGTGTGACGTGTACGTTTTTGATGATGAGGGGGTAGCGGGTGACTCTCTGCATGGGTTTAAGGAGGTAACTGGACAGAGGCATTCCTTTACACCTGGGATCCATGGCCAGCCTCTGATGGAAACATGGAGAATCAAACAAACAGCAGGATTCTTGTTTACACAATTTAAAACATTAATATTTTATAATCAAAGGTACAGCATTCCTGGAAGAAATGCATATCACCCGCCACCTCTTATACCAGAGTTTGAAACCGTTTGTAGCAGCCCAGATGAGTTAGAGCTCAGAATATGTGCTGGGAAGGACTCTCAGCTGCGACCACACCAGATTTAGCTCAACATGTGGAGAACTGAGTCAAAGGCATTTTCAAGCGGTGGCAGCCATCTTAAACTGGGCAGACTGCAACAGTTAAACTGGGCAGACTGCAACAGTTAATCGGAGCTAGATGTAAATTTAAAGATTGTTTTCTGAGAGTTTCGTTATGAGTCATTCAGTGGCCACGACACCTTAGATCTTAGTTAAAACTCTGGCATGAAAAGCAGCCCTTCAGGAAATGCTTGACCTTTAATTTATAAGAAGATGGACAAACTATGAACAAAAATGTCTTTTTGCAGCACAGTTGATACAAAGCAAAACAAAGTGTGATTGTTTTAAACAACGTTAGGTTGAAATAAAGGCTTGTTACTAGTAGAAATATTTAAAAATGGTTCATTTCATTGAACACATGAACAGTTTTTGGCTGGTTTACCTTGAGGAAGTCTTTGATCTCGGGGTTGTCATCGGTTTTCTGTTGAATCAGCGTGGCGCCGTTCAGCTGACACGAGCAGAACCTGAACACAACAAGCCGTCAGTTTCAGAAAGGATGCTTGGTGTTCTTACAGGAGGGGGTCAGAGGACTGACAGAACCTGATGTACGGCTGCATGTGGGGCAGCTGGTTGGTCAGGATGTCGCCGATCATCTTTACAGGCATCCGATCGCCCGACATCTTCTTCCTCACCCGGAGAGCCCTGCGGGGAGATGCCGGGTCAGAGCAACTCAAAGCAACATCAGCCACTGCAGGTGAGTTTCCAACAGCTAAAATAACTGATGCAATAACAGAGCTAAACCTCAGAGACACAAAAACATTAAGTTACAGATAGGACGTGTTTTATTTAGGCCTTCACTATCAAAAAAACATTTCTGCTTCTCCTCCCACTAAAGAAATGATTAAAAAACATAAAACAAACAAACTTGAAATAAAGAAAATACTGCTTTTTAGGTCTTAAATAAATACTGCTTATAATAATCTGCAGCTTGTTTGTAAAACCTATGGGGATGCTGGTGAACAAAATATTTAACATAAAGATCAGGTGCTCGCACGACATTTTGTGAACCAGAAAAGTGTAGAAACCATCCAAGAACATCTCCAGCATCATCTAGTGTCTGTTACAGAAGAGGATTAGAGCCACGCTGGAAATTCATTTTATTTATTCTTAATCCCGACTTTTTCTTCTTTTGTTTTTCAGAACTTTGAGATTAAAATCAGAATGCAGCAAAAAAAAAAAAAGTCAGAATTTAGGAAAATACTTTTTTTTTTTTGAATAGTGGAATCTTCTTCAGTAGTTTTTTTTAGTTTGGAAAGTGAAAAAAAAATTTGAACTTAAATTACACTTGAATGTTTTCACAGCAGTTATATAATTAACCTGACTTTGTATAATTATTAAATGGTGGTAAATCATTATCCTTCTGAAGCCAAGCTCTGTATTAATAAAGCGAACAGGGCTGGTGTGAATGCACCTCTTAATCAAACTCTAGTCCGTTTGCCTAGAAAGTCTGGATGTTTTGAGGAGGTGTGAACGCACAATCGAACTCTTTTTCATTCATTCAACATTTATTTAAACAGATAAATCACACTGAGCCTTCAAGACTCATTTCCTGTACATGTGAGATCTGTTTGGACAGACAATAAAAGTGGTGAAAGTGACAACATAGGTTCTGGAGGCAAAACAATTCCTAACAGGCTCTCAATCTTTGGCCGAAGATAGATAGCCTGAAAATGAAATAAATAAATAAATAAAACCTCGCACACAAGCACACAGTGACATTCTGTGAATCTGACATTCTGTGTGTGTGTGTGTGTGACGCAAATCTGATGTGGACCAAATAACCAAACTCTGATCGGCCTAAATACCTATAGGTCTCGGTTCGGTTGAAGTGAACTCTAGTGTTTAGCACATGTGCCACAGACGAAATCCTAAAACCGCTAAAATTTGACACCACTCCGTTTTTAAAAATGTATTTGCAGAAGTAAGTTGCAGTAGTGCTTGGTGCAGCGCTGGGGAAGGGAGTGGGGGGTGGGGGGGGGGGGGGGGTCAGGTTGGTTCGATCGACTCAGTGCAGTGTGAATGTGAACCGCACCAGCTGAAGATGTAAACACGTTTTGATTTTTGTCCCCGGTCGAACCGAGTCTACCAGACTATCAGGTGTGAAACTGGTGCACACCACAGTTTCTCATCTGATCTCACTAGAGAATATTAAGTGCACACAAGAATGTGCACAAGAAACCCAAGTGAAATGTTTTCTTCATTGTAAGATGACAATACGGGGCTGGAAACTGTATTCACAGATCTGCATACAATCCAACAATAAAACAGCTAAAACAGGCCTTTTCTACTAAAGTTAGGACTAAAAATGATGTTTTCTTCATCAGAGCTTCAGAGCTCTGCAGGCTCCTGGTTATGGACAAGGACTGATCTCAGCTGTGTGAAAGCACATCTTTACTTGAGCAGTTTGATGTTGCACATGATGAGCTCCTTCCAGTTGACGAAGATCATGGCCACTTCCTTCTCCGTCAGCAGCTCACAGTCCAGCAGAGGCTTGTGGAAGATCTGCGCACAGAGGAAACAACGCTACGAGAAACAGCTTCAGCTGCGAAACTACTGGAGTTACAGACGGGAAAGGTTAACAAAAATAAAACCCTAAACTGTTCAGGCACTTTCCTCAGATCAGGAAGTAAACACTTTCTCGTGAAAGTGGCCGTCACATCAAACTTTTGTAATATATGTTCAGTTTTGGAAAGGTAGCATTAATAACGTATATGAATTTTTCCCACGCTGTTCAGATGAACAGGTGTTGAGATCCTCTCATGCACAATAATAATCATCTCTCACGGCCTTCGTGTATCTGTTATAGAAATTTTGGACACTTGTATTTCAGACCACTTTCCTATTATATTTGAATTGTCCACTCCTCCCCCAGTAAAAACTATGCTTCCAGCACGTCGCTGCCGCTTCATCACTCCCTCCACTCCAGGTCAGTTTGCTGCTGCGTTTAGAAGCACTGACTTATACTCTGCTGAAAGTCTGGACTCATCTCTACAACCAGAAGAATTTATCACCTCCTTTCAGTACACTTCTACAAAGATCTTGGACTCCATCGCTCCTTTAAGACAGACTTCTACAAAAATCAAGCCAGATCCCTGGCTTAATGGTACCACTCGGACTTTTAGACAACGCTGCAGGAAAGCAGAACGCAGATGGAAGAAAGACGGGCTTCATGTGTCCCAGGACATACTGAGAGACTGTCTTCATGAATATCAAAAAGCTGTTCAGCAGGCCAAATCACAATATCTTTCCAATTTAATTTCTACCAGTTGTAACGGGCCAAGGGTTTTATTTAATACCATTCAGTCTGTCATTAATCCCTCCATCCATGTTCTGAAAACTGCTACACAGTCTACCTGTGATGGTTTTCTTGATTACTTTGTGCACAAAATAGACTCTATCAAGCAGAACATTGTCAGTACATATAATTTTGTTCAGTTATGTGCTCCCTCAATAACCTCTGCTGTGTTTGATCAGTTCGACCTGGTCTCACTACCTCACCTCGTTAAGGTGGTTCAGCAGATGAAACCTACAAACTGTACCCTGGACATCATTCCCTCTAAGATGTTCAAGCAGTCCTTGGATGTTATTGGTCCTTGTCTTCTGACATTTATTAATAGCTGTCTAAGTTCAGGTTATGTCCCGTCTGTTTTCAAACATGCTGTGGTCAGGCCTCTTCTTAAAAAAACGGGTTTAGATCCTACAGCTTTTTCTAATTTTAGGCCAATTTCACACTTGTCATTTTTATCCAAAGTTCTGGAAAAGGTTGTTTTCATTCAGTTGCAATCTTTTTTAGAACACAACAACTTGTTTGAAAAATTTCAATCTGGCTTCAGACCACGTCATAGCACTGAAACTGCACTACTCAAAGTACAGAATGATATTCTTTTGTCCCTTGATGCCAAAAAACCTGTTCTGCTGGAGATGTTGGACCTCTCAGCAGCTTTTGATACTGTAGACCATCAGGTCCTAATCACTCGTTTGGCTCAGCAGGTTGGCCTTCAGGGAGTTGTGCTCGAGTGGTTTAAGTCCTATTTGACAGACAGAACTTTCTCTGTTATGATTGGTGATCTGTCCTCTTCTTCAGTCTCTTTGACCTCTGGTGTACCGCAGGGATCCATTCTGGGGCCTGTTCTCTTCTCACTTTACATGCTACCATTAGGACCCATCATTGCACGCCATAATCTGTCTTTTCATCTGTATGCAGATGATCTACAAATCTATCTGCCGGTCACTCCCAGTTCCTCACTCAGTTTAAACTCTGTTGCCAGCTGCTTAAATGACATTAAGCACTAGCTGTCTCAGAATTTTCTCCACCTCAATAACGATAAAACTGAATGGATTTTATTTGGTGCTTCCAGTAACTCATGCAACATCTCTCCCAGTATAGGTTTTCTGCTCCCCCACGCCAACCAGGTGGTAAAAAAATCTAGGAGTGGAGCTTGACTTTAACTTAAAGCTAGATAAACAGATCAGTTCTGTTGTGAAAACCAGCTTCTTTCAGCTCTGTCTGCTTTCTAAAGTAAAGTCACTCCTTAGCTGTAGTGATCTGGAGAAGGCCATCCATGCCTTTGTGAGCTCTAGGCTTGATTACTGTAACGCCTTATGTGTCGGTATTAATCAATCTTCTATCTCCCGTTTACAGCTTGTACAAAACTCTGCTGCTCGCTTGTTGACTAACACACGTAAATATAAACACATCACTCCTGTCCTTTCTTCTTTACACTGGCTCCCGGTTCAGTTTAGGACACAGTTCAAGCTGCTGCTGTTTGTTTTTAAAGCTTTGAATGGCCTTGCACCACCTTATATTTCAGAACTTTTGAAAGTCCACCAGCCCAGCAGAGCTTTACGGTCTGCTGGTCAAAATCTGCTGGTGGTACCACGCTCAAGGTGCAAACAATGGGGGGACCGGTCCTTTTCTGTTGCAGGCCCAACAGCCTGGAATACTCTTCCCTATGAGCTGCGTGCCATCTCTGATCAGGTTCTGTTCAAAGCCAAACTGAAAACATACTTATTTAAAAGGGCTTTTAATGTTTAACTTTTAGTAGTTTAGTATGTAGTATTTATTTTTTTATTTTATCTCTTTTACCTTCTTTTATTCTCGCTGTGTTTTTTAATTTGCACTGATTTATTGTGTCCTGTTTTTAATCTTGTTTTGTCTTGTGAAGCACCTTGGTCAATGCAAGGCGTTGTTGGAAGGTGCTATAGAAATAAAGTTTATTATTATTATTATTATAATAACAGGAAGTGATGTCACTAACAGGAAGTGATGACTAAGAGGAACAGAGCATAGCTACAATGGCTAACACAGACAGCAGAGAAGAATCTGATGTTTCTTTAGATTATTTTTATTTTGAGAGACAGCTGAAGAAGAGTCCGAGCTCAAAGACCAGGAAGTTCCCCTTTGATGTCACTTCCTGTTTCACTTTGGCTGCAATAAGTTCAATAAAATATGCCTGTTATGTGACTAAACGGGTAAAATCATGTGCATTATGTAAAATTTATTAAATGTTAAGATGTTTGATTCCACTTTTTGTATTTGTAGGACGTTCATATCACAGACACTTTAAATCAGTTTATTCATTTAGGACTTTATGGCTTTATTAGTGGAATAAGACAATCTGCTGTTAAAAAACAAAACAGATAAGTCAATTTAGGTGAAGCGTTCCCATGACAACTAATTCTGATTGACGTTTTGCCAAACGCGGCATGGTGGCGCAGTTGGTAGAGAGGTGTTGATCAGGATGGACACACATATTGCAAAAGCACATGCTTTGTAGTCTTATTTAGATTTACAAAGAGGAAACACTCTTCTAAAGCGATTTAAAAGCACATGGATGATTAAAATGTGTTTGTGTGTTTACCTCGGTGACGAGCTGCAGATCGTTGACGTAGTTCTCCTCGGTGACGATCAGCTCGTGGATGTAGCCCTGCCTCTTCCTCTCCATCGGACTCAACATGTCCAGCAGGTGGAGGTCGGCGCACCCTGAAGTTCAGACATCACAGAAGAACTACACATCAGCTGTCACACAAGCATCATGGATCACAGGCAGGAGACAGGAAGAGGAGACCTAAAGGATCAGACTTAGGAGGTACATACCTGAGCTCAGTTCAGGTGTTTGTTACAACGCAGCTTTTAAACTGCTTCAACCAGAACACAACTCTGTGCTCGATGCCTCCACATGTTACAAAATACTCTCTAGTCAGACCTTTTGCATTTACAGTAATCCTTTTACATATATAAAAATACACAATAATGATTTAGCTAAAAAAAAATGCATGTGGAATGCAACCAGAGGCCTCGACAATCGTCTTGACTTACAGTCTTGTCCTTTGAGATCAGAGACTTCTAAAGATTTTTCAGATATTTTGATGATCTAATGAGCTGTTGAGCTCAAAGTCTTTAAATTTTCAGCTGAGAAACATTATTCTGAAATTTTCAGCTTTTTTCACAGACTGATGAACCTCAGCCCATCTTTACTTCTGAGAGATTCGGCCTCTAATTAATTAATATTTTACACTGCTCACAACATTAAAAGGAACACTACAATAACACATCCTAGACCTCAATTATTTAAATATTCTCATTGACAAACTTTATTATTAGCACAGTGGAATTGATTGAGAAGAAAATAACACAAAATTATCCATGTAAATCAAAATTATTACATCATGGAGATCTGGATTTAGATTCAGACTCAATATGAAAGTGGAAAATAACATGACAGGTTGATTCAGCGTCAGTGAATATTCCTCAAGACAAGTCTAAATGAGGCTCAGTAGTGTGTGTGGTCTCCACGTGCCTGTATAACCTCCCAACAGCGACAGGGCATGCTGCTGATGAGACGGCGGATGTTCTCCTGAGGGATCTCTTCCCAGACCTGGATTAGAGTATCAGTTAGCTCCTGAACAGTCTGTGGTGCAATGTGGTCTTGTGGATTGACCTAACATGATGTCCCAGATGTGCTCAGTTGGATTCAGGTCTGGTGAACGGGCAGGCCAGTCCATAACATGAATGCCCTCATCATGCAGGAACTGCTGACACACTTCAGCCACATGAGGCCTAGCATTGTCATGCATAAGAAGGAACCCAGGGCCCACTGCATCAGCATATGGTCTCACAGTGGGTCTGAGGATCTCATCCTGGTACCTTATGGCAGTCAGGGAACCTTTGGACACATGGAGGGCTGTACGGCCATCCAAAGAAATGCCTCCCCACACCATGACTGACCCACCACTAAACCGGTCATGCTGGATGATGTTGCAGGGAACGTAACGTTCTCCATGGTGTCTCCAGACTGTCACGTCTGTCACATGTGCTCAGTGTGAACCTACTTCATCCATGAAGAGCACAGGGCACCAATGGCGAATCTACCAATTTTCGTATTCCCTAGCAAATCATCCTGCACGGTGTTGGACTGTAAGCACAGGCCCTATGTGTGGACGTCGGGCCCTCATACCACCTTCATGGAGTCTGCTTCTGACAGTTTGAGTGGAAACATGCACATTAGTGGCCTGCTGGAGGTCATTTTCTTCCTCTGATCTCATCCTCAAATGATGTCCCCACTGAGTTTGTTGATTCCTATCAATATTTGGGTATCTTGGTCGACTCACATCTCTCTTTTAAGCTCCATGTGGAAAACTTGGTAAAGAAACTGAAAGTTAAACTGGGTTTCTTTTTCAGAAACAGACCCTGTCTAACTCTGAATGCTAGGAAACGCCTTGTATCTGTGACTTTCCTTCCCTCCATTGATTACAGTGACATTATTTACATGAATGCTCCTACAAGAACCCTGCAGATGTTAGATGCTGTCTATAATGGTGCACTAAGATTCATAACTGGCTGTGATTATCGTACCCACCACTGCACCCTGTATTCACAGGTTAACTGGTCATCATTAACTTCACGCAGACACTCTCACTGGTACATTTTCATCTTTAAATCACTTCTTGGTCTGCTGCCTTCATACATCTCCTCCTACATGTCTCTGCGTGAGTGCAGCTACAGCGTGCGTTCTCAGGACATTATTATCTGCAGTGTTCCCTCAGTGAGGACTGAATTAGGCAAAAGGGCCTTCTCCTATTCTGCTCCTGTTTCTTGGAATATCTTACAAAAAGAACCTTGACCTCTCTAAGGGTGCATTCACACCAGCCCTGTTTAGTCCACTTTAATCGAACTCTAGCTCATTTTCCTTGAAAGTCCGGTTCGTTTGGGGAGGTGTGAATGCGCCATCGAACTCTGTCACGGAACAAAAAGGCGAACTCTGGCCCGGGCTAAAACCTAGGTCTCGGTCCGGTAGAAGCAAACTCCAGCGCGGTTCCAGTACAGTGTGAATGTAAACAGACCGGGCTCCGCTCCGCAGGACAAACAAACACACATTTCTCTGACCTTATATGGAGCCGTCAGCTGCCTTGTGTGGAAAAATAATATTCTCCATGGTCTTCTGTCTCATCTTCTGCTCATGCTAAATCCATTTTTGAAAAATGACAAAATATAACTCCTAAAACTGCTAAAACTTGATGCCACTTCGTTTTTATTTTTATTTACAGAAGAAGACGTGTCTTCAGAGGTTTTTGTGTCATTTCTTTCAGTAGTTCTTGGTGCAGCGCCCCCACAGGCGAGCGGGGGAATAGGTTGGTTCAACAGGTTGACTTGACTGCACCGTGCAGTGTGAATGCAAACTCACCAGCTCAAATGTAAATAAAGGTCGTTTTCACACCAGATAGTCCGGTAGATTCGGTTCGGGACCAATATTCATGACCTTTTGTTTACATTTGAGCTGGTGTGTTTGCATTCACACTGCACTGTGCAGTCGAGTCAACCTGTTGAACCAACCTATTCCCCCACTCGCCTGTGGGGGCGCTGCCCCAAGAACTACTGTAAGAAACGACACAAAAACCCCTGAAGACATGTCTTCTTCTTCTTCTGTAAATAAAAATAAAAACATAGTGGCATCAAGTTTTAGCAGTTTTAGGAGTTATATTCTGTCATTTTTCAAAAGTGGACTTAGCATGAGCAGAAGATGAGACAGAAGACCATGGAGAATATGTTTTTCCACACAAGGCAGCTGACAGCTCCATATAAGGTCAGAGAAATGTGTGTGTGTTTGTCCTGCGGAGCGGAGCCCGGTCTGTTTACATTCACACTGTACTTGAACCGCGCTGGAGTTCTCTTCTACCAGACCGAGATCTAGGTTTTAGCCCGGGCCAGAGTTCGCCTTTTTGTTCCGTGACAGAGTTCGATGGCGCGTTCACACCTCCCTAAATGAACCAGACTTTCTAGGAAAAAGAGCTAGAGTTCGATTAAAGCGGACTAAACAGGGCTGGTGTGAATGCACCCAAAAGGTCATGAATATTGGTCCCGGACCGAGTCTACCGGTCTATCTGGTGTGAAAACGACCTAAGTGGCTTTAAGAATCTGTTGGACTCCTGGCAAGGACCAATGCAGACATGTTCCTGTTTTTAGTTTTCTACATTCGCCTTAGAATCCAGCTGTTTTTATTACTTTTCTTTTCTTTTTACTTAAAAAATTTTTTTTAAGCCATCCTATTTGTTAAAAAAAAAAAAAAATTGTATGACTTTTTATAACTGTTTATTGTTGTCGCTGTTGTCCATTGTTGTCATCTTTCTTTGTTGAAATCAGGTCTCGCTTGTAAATGAGTCCTTGAGGCTCAATGGGATTTACCCGTCTAAATAAAGGTTGAATGAATTTTGTAGGGCCCTGGCAGTGGACCTCCTGTTCCTCCTTGCACAAAGGACAAGGTAGTGGTCCTACTGCTGGGTTTTAGCCCTCCTACAGCCCCCTTCATGTCTCCTGGTGTACTGCCTGTCTCCTGGTGCCTATTCCATGCTCTGGGCACTGTGCTGAGAGACACAGCAAACCTTCTTGCCACCGCTTGCATTGATGTTCTTGGATTAGCTGCACAACTTGAGCAACTTCAGTGGGCTGTAAAAACACCTCATGATGACTCTATGCACTGACAAAATGAAAAGCGACTAAAAGTTCAACCAGAAAGGACGAGAACAGAGAAATGACCTGTGGTCACCACCTGCAGAATCACTCTTTTATAGGGGTTGTCTTGCTAATTGCCTCTTATTCAATTCAATTCAAAGATACTTTATTAATCCCAGAGGGAAATAATTTATTGTTGTAACTCATTATCCTCATTTCATTAAGAGATGTTATAGATGCTGATGGCTGTAGACTGGAAGGATCTCTTGCAAAAGTCCACCCCACAGTGGCTCCTAAGAAACTGGCCGCAGATGCTGTCTGATCCGTCCACCCAGACTCGACTGGCCTCTCAGTTCCCCCCGGGCTGTAGGACCGCCCGAATGCCGGGCAGAACTCCTCCCAGAGTGATGGCCACTCCTCCCAGCAGTCTGCCGAGCTTCTCATTGCTGCAGACAGCCAACTGTAGGTGCTGAGGGACGATCCTGTCCTTCCGCTGTCATGAGCCATATTTCCTGCTAGTTCCAGGTTCTCAGTGGTCAGACACTCGAGCACAGCTGGCAGGTAGATGAGAATGCATCCACAGAACATCCTTTTCAACTCATTTGGGATTTGAGGCTGTAGTTGAGATATTATTTGAGCTTTTGAGATGTTAATCAGCTGCTGTTGGTTGTAGAAAACTGCCTCGTTGCTATGGTTACGCATCATAACAAATGTCCAAAACTAAAAAAGTTTCAGTAAAAATCCTTCCAGCTGCACAGCATCTGATACCAGAGGAAACAATCATCCAAAAAATGTTATTTACCTCCAGAAAAACAGGAATTAAAGTTTTCAAAAGCAAAATCTCAGAATGAAAGTAACAGAGCTGCTCCAACATGCAGCCACCTTGAGCGGCGCAATTCTAGAACATTCCAGCTGTTGTGTGTTCTATTTGCACAGCAGCAGCTGGAACTGATTCACAATAAGTTTTACTACCTAATTGGTCACATTGCTTCCACAAAGGTGTGACTGATTTGGAGTTACATTGTTTTGTTTAG